TCTCTCTCTCTCTCTCTCTCTCTCTCTCTCTCTCTCTCTCTCTCTCTCTCTGTCTGTGTGTGTGTGTGTGTGTGTGTGTATACATGTGGGTATATGATTTTATTATGTCTGGATTTCATATTGAAAACCAACAATCAAAATATTCCCACAGATTTGGTTACTATCAGTCCCCGATAGCTTTTTATGTCTTCAATTTAACAGCTATAACAATATGCAATACAAGTTACATGAGTCACACCATGTCACAAGTCTTGACATTAGCACTAAGCAAGGTTAACAAAGTCACTGAAGTTTTCCTGGAAACGGGGTGACTTGGCAAATGACTCCTGGAACAAGCATGTGTTCTTAAGTGAGAAAGAACTGTCTCCAAAAAGAAGTTACAAAGTACTTACCACATTCAGGTTGACGGGTGTGTTTGCCTTTGGTACTGGGTGGTTATAGAGTGATTTGAGAGTTTCATTCAAATCATCTTCCTGAAACAAAGAAAAGATCATTTAACAATTAAACAACATAGAAAGCAAATAATTAAAAGTATTCTAGACATTACTAATGGGACTGAAAAATGGTGTAGCCATAGCAGAAAATAGCATGTATGACCTTTCCTCAAATAATGAAACACAGAATTATCCCAATATCCAGTATTTACACCTTCAGATATATGAAAAACAAAACTGATGTAACTGCCGGAACAGGTTGTTGTATTTGACTAGGAGCTCCATATATCCTGGAAAGCTCTCTACCACTAACTACGAATGGGTCTGATGAGAGAGGTAGCTGAACAACAATCTATGTTGCCGTCTCACTCACAATACATACAAGGAAGACACACCTTAAATGTCTGCTAACACGTGAGTGAGTAAACAACTTGTAGTGCATCCATGCATTGATTATTACCCAGCTTTAAAAAGGTGGAGAATTCTGGCAGATGGCACAGCACTAGAACCTTGGACATATGACATTAGGAGAAGTAAGCAAGGACAAACACTTCGGGATCCACCTATGTGGAGACCTTCAGTTAAGAAGGCAAATATAGATATGGTGGGGACCGGGGAGGGAAGAAAAGGAAATGGCAAACTACTGTTTAATGAGTAAAGGGCCTGGGTTTGTTCGGGTATGCTGTGTTGGCGGTTAAAAACAATGTGACTGTGATAAATACCATAAAATTATAACCTTTGAAATGGCAACAACTGCTTCTTCTTGCTAAGTATATTTTAACACAATAAAGCAAAGAGAAAGAAGTCAGCTTACCAGTTCCTTCGCCAAGTAATCTGCCAGAGTGTTGAGAAGCTTATAGTACACTTCAAACCACGGCAAGTAACTGGAAGGAGAATTTATGGGTATGTAAAACACCTGAAGTTTAGAACCAATATACAAGCAAGGAGATGAAAACCAAATTCATATTCTTTAAAATGCATTGATCCTGGATAACAGAAAAGAACTACACCCATGTTTTCTTTATCAATTCCAAAAAAATGTATTACTAATATTATAGCAATATTAGTTTAATTCACTTCCATTTTATGTCAGCAGCATCTGCAAAATGACTTAAAATGTCAAAGCAACCCTGTATGAGGGTATAGGAAAGCTAACTATAAAACTATGTATAAATGCAGTCAAAGGTCACTTTATTGGTGAGAAGTGACACCTTACGAAATGTGTCCTCATGTGAGCATCCCAAAGTGCATACACAAATTAATATGGTGGCAATGTCACAGGACCACCTCTGTACAGTGGTCTATCATTGACTTACCGAGTATATAGCACATACTTGAATATCTTTATAAATACTACCCAGTTAATACATAATGCAACCGAACCATGTATATATAATTAATTCTTCAGAAACTGTGTGACCATCATTACAGATAAAGCCTATTCTAAAAAATTATACATATAATAAATTGATTTTCAATGACAAAATTATGATTTAAAATTCATTTAGCTATATAAAACTACTCTTTATTTATGTATTTGCTTATTATTTACTTTTATTATTTATTTACTTATTTATTTTCAAGCAGTCTTACTATTTAATCCACACTTATTTTCTAATTCAGTTTATTACTTTCTTTCGATGCAAATGGACAGCCTAGGGCCAGTGAGACAGCTCAGTGTTTAGATAAAGCACTTTCCATGCAAACATGATGGTGTGAAGGAACAGAAGTGACCCCCAGAAAGCTGCCCTCTGAGCACACATGTGCACCATGATGTGCACACATCCACACAGTGTTTATATACAGTAATAATATCTGTTAAACAGCTTACATATGTTTATAGTGAGCAAATGAAAACCATGACAAGAACAGACTATGCTACAGAAGAAAACTTTAAATTGCCTTAATCCCCTCAGGAGATGAAGAAAGGGGGCGCTAGTAAACTCAACTTTTTAAAAGGAACTATTCGAAAACAAGAAAGAGGGAAGGCCAGGCAGCCTGTGAGAACCTTAGTTCAATCCACGGACTCACACCGTGTTGGCTGGAGAGAAATGACCCACAAAGTTATCATGTGACCTCCACACACACTCTATAGTCCGTGAGCCACCACCACCTCCACAGTGGTAATAAAATTTGGGGGGGGGGAGTTTTCAGAAATTCTAAAAGTTGAGGGGGGGAAAAAACCTCAAAACATGGAAAGATAGAGAACAGCATAAGAAAATCACCTGGAACAAGAAGAAAAAGACAGACGGGCAGCTAATAAGAGGGAAAATACCACAACACTAGCCTGTATCAGGCCACTGAATAATGGCGGCTCCCAAAGAAAGAAAACAGAGCATTTCTTAAAACATCACCAGAATGGCCCCTCTGCTTCAGACCTGAGTCTTCCGACTGAACAGATGATAACATAGGAGATGAGGAAGCCACGCTTCAGTTTCCTGTGAAATTCAAGAATAGGAAGAGAAAACACCTGGTATTTCCAAGAAGACAAAGAAGTAAAACTCAAGAGGACAAACTACAAATGTCACCAAACTTCTCAATTCAGACCATGCAAGTGAGAAGGTGAAGGCCTTCCAACCAGAGGAAAGGAGGCCATTGATGGAGTGTGAGGGTAGGGTAACACCATGCTCAGCCATTCCAGGCTTCACAAATTCTCCTCCTGGCTTCAATGAAATAAGGGAAACCAAAAAATTATGCAGGGTTTGGGAAACACAATAGAGACCACAAAGAACAGAGAAGTCCAGGCCCAGAGTTGTGCAAAGGCTTAGGATTCAGTCTGACAAGGACGAGCTTGGGAAGAAAGGTCGGACAGGTTCACAGTGAGCACGTTGATGCTTTGTGTGGGAGCCTAGAAAACTCGGGAGAGATAGGTGGCATCTCTGAAATCATTTAGGGATGTGAAAATCAGAAATATTAATTAAATTATGTAACAGCTCAAGCCTTAGTTTTCAGACAGCAATTCAACCATGCCATGTTAAAAAAAAAAAAAAAGAAAAGAAAAGATAATCCTTGAGATTACAGCTTTTAAACTAACAACTCAAAACACGTGTCATCCGCCATAGTTCTTACACTCACTGGTAGTCGGAAATCACCGTTCAGCAGGGCACACCTGACAGGGAAGCAGGTGTGCTAACTCCAGATGTTCAGCACTCCCTCCCCTCCTCCACATCCAATCCCTGACTGCCTCTTAGCAGCACTGTAGCAGACTACCTGCTGGGACCTCCCATCCTTCTCTGCAACCCCCGCCCCCCCAAGTCTGAAGTAGAGCACACAGATCTTATCTTCCAACCTCCCTTGCCCCACTCATCTGTTTATCCCAGCTCCCATGTCCAGCAGGCAACCCCTGGGAAACACATAGCAAGCTGGCCAGGGAAGCCTATGAGCTAATTACAGATCTTCACCTCTCCCTTCTCCCTCATCTCCTCCAAATCCAATGCCCCAGTCTCATCCCCAGCTCTGCAGAAGACCGCCTGAAGTAACCTCTCTTCCCTCTCTGCCTCCATCTCCAGCAGATCCCACAGATCTTCTCCTCCAACCCTCCTCCCCATTCATCCCTAAGTCTCAGCCCCCAACTCCAGCAGACATTACCAGGGAATGCATCAGCCAAGCCTTCCAGCGAAGCAAGGACAACTGAGCAGATCAGCAAGCTTCAGATCTTTACTTTCTCTCCTCCAATTCAGTCCCCCAGTCTCATCCCCAGCTCTGTAGCAGACTACCTGTTGTGGCCTCTTCTCACTCTCTACCCTGATTCCCAGGGGACTAAACAGATCCATGTGGAATATGGAGTTTTCCTCTCTCCTGTGCTCTCCCTCAGCACTCACCACCTTTTAGTGCATTCCCATTCCTAAGTGCCAACCCCCAACACCCAGAAATGCATTCTACTCTGAGCTGCCAGTGGCCACACCTAGCAAGACCCTAGAATAATTCCCTACCAGGCAACACACAGCCACCATACCCTCCTAAGAACTAGACAGGGCAAAGGGAAACCAAGGAACAAAACACCCACAAAACAAAGACAAGACCTGAAGAAGATGCAGGCAAACAATGCAGAGGCAATGAGTTCACAAGCAGAGGCCATCAAAGCCTTGGGAAGCCTAAGGTGGTTAAGCCAAGGTACCAAAGGGTCCCAACCACAAACTCAGCCTTCTTGCATTCATTGCTCACCCCAAGCTCAGGAAACAGATTCAAAGATACATGGCCAAGGGTCATAGACTCTGCCAACCAAAGCCCAAAGTTCAAACCAAGGCAGCTGTTGCTGGAGGGCTTCTCTCCAGGTTCCCCAAGCCCCGCAGTCCCAAAATCCACATATGAAATAATCACTCAGACGCTTATATCACTTATAAACTGTATGGCCGTGGCAGGCTTCTTGCTAACTGTTCTTTTATCTTAAATTAACCCATTTTTATAAATCTATACCTTGCCACGTGGCTG